AGTACATGAATGGGATCATCAGATTCAAGATCGGGTAACCACATTATTCATAGTATGACTACGAGAGTACAGGCCTTTATTCAAGAAAAGGGAGACAACATTAGGTACTAGAGACTCAGATTTCATTATAAAAAAAAAAAAGAATTACATGCTTTTTATTTTCATTTAAAAGAGTATTCTTTTGCTTTATTTTACATTGAGTTTTTTTAAAATGAATTAGTTTCTGTTGTTTTTTACCCTTTATTAGTGGTATTCTACTATCAGAATATGTCATACTATATTGAGGTAAAAAAAACTCCTATTTTTTTCTGTTGGAAAAGAAATAATGACAAAATGTAAGGTGCGCTGGTTTTTATGACCAACAGTGTAGTTCATTCCTTCGATTCGCTTTTATATGTATATCTGTATCTAACGTATTCTTACTTATATCTGTGTTCACATATCTTGACACTAATTATTTCAAAAAATTAGTTTTTTAAACTTAATTTTTACAGAAAGTTGTCTATTTGAAAGTTATATATTTTTCCTAAAAATATATACATTCCTTTTCTTTCAAGAATGTTGTTATCACGAATTTGTCAAACATTAATTAAATTGTAAAAAAAAAATTATCTCAATCATTGGCTATGTAATTAAATTTGTCGTCAATATAAATTTGTATTAGAATTTGATTTTTTATTTATTTATTTATTTAGCCTCTACCCTAATGGTCATTGGCTTATTGTCTTTATTTAATATTCTATGATAAAAATTGATATCTTTTAAATATTTTAACAGTTTCTATTTCTTTGTCCTCATCTTGCAGGATTTCTTTCATTTCCGTTCCCATTTGTGGGTTTTCCCTTATATTAGTGTACCTACTGCATTCTAACAATATATGCTTTACTGTTCTGGGTACTTGCCAATGTGTGCAAGTTGGGGCTTATGATCCTCACAGGTGGTATACATGGAAAAACTCAGTGTCTGATTTTCAGGCTACATAGTAAAACTTCTCATCTATATTTTCAGTTTGATGTGTTATATTTCATACAACATTTTTTTTAATTTCTTGAAATTTTGCCAAACTCATTTCCCATTCACTGTTCCATTTATTTTGAAAGGATGAGGCAAGTTAGTGTGTCCAATCTTCTCGGGGGTTGGTCGCGATTATTGTGGTTTGTGGAGTTTCTTGATGCTGAGCAGAATGGGCAGCAGCATCAGCTCTCTCATTTCTCTGATTACCACAATATGAGGGCACTGAAATAAGCCATATACTGATCCTTGTTATATTTTCCAAGATTTTGGCACTTCCTTTTTCGTTCGCTTTTTATTTTATTTCTTTAGTTCACTGTATGTGTTAAATATTTCTGTTATAACAGGATGCTGGTTCGTTTATTGTTCTATGGCTTCTACAAGAAATATTGAACGGTTATGATAACGTGGTTTTGAAAGCGGTTTGTGTGGATGTGCAAGAGTGCTTCTTTTATGACTGTTGCTTCTCCCGTAAAGATAGTGCATTCTCCTGGAAGTTTGTACAGGAGTTCCTCACTTTCTGTGATGACTGAATATCCCACTTGGTTACCGGCTTTTGATAAATTTGTGTACAAAATTTTGTAGTTGTTTGTTTGTTTAACAATTCTAAAAAATAAGATTTTTCTTGTCTGAAATTAGTGGTTTTTTTTTAGATCTAGAACATAAATTTTTCTGTAGAAATATTCCAGAGGTTCCACCTTGGAAAGTTTTTATTTGGCAGCTTTTGGATGCAATTTAAATTCATATTTAATGCTAACATTGTTTGAAATATATTTTGCTTGAAACTGTTTGTGGATCAAATATGATGTCCCTTAAGGGGTGTCATGGAAGTGACATTATTTTATTTTGGCCCTACATTTTTAGCAATCATAAGCGCTCTTCTTATGTTTTTTGTAAACTGTGTGCAAGTTGTTTAATGTTAATGGATTTTTCATTATGAGCCATCTCAAGAAAGAGACATAATTTTGAGTAAGATAAGGGATATTTTTGGTCATTTGTGACTAAAATGCGAATTGATTCTAACATTTCCTTGATTATTTTATTGTTGTTTTTTCGTTTTACCTTAGGTTTTAACTCCAGTAGCAATTGGAAATAAAGTGGTTTTCACCATAATAAACCTTGTTTACTTCGCCCAGACCAGCTGACTTGTCAATGGCTTCGAATAAATCTTTCTTGCTGATAAAATGGTCTTCTCCATAATAAACCTGCATCGTCCCCTTGATATCATCCAAACTGCCTCCAGCATTTGATCCTCTTAGCAGCATCTTGAAATATTCTGTTCATATGTCTACTATATATTTGTTTAGCCATGTAATGAATACTGATCCTTGTTTTATTTTCTGAGATTTTGGCACTTACTTTTTCGTTCCCTTAATATATTTTTCCAATGTTAAGGTTCAATTTTATTATTATAATTATATTGTTTTTACAATAGAGGCCTTCTTAAAATGACCTCCGTATAGAATAAAGGAAGTTAAATTAAAAATAAAATAAATTAATAAATTAAAAAAAAATTGGTAATTTAAAAAAAATTAAATTATTGCATTAATATTTGTTCGTTAATACAATCAATATAATGTACCAAAAACGTTATTATAGCTCTATAACTAAGCCAAGAGTACTGAATGGTGTGGTAGAGGCTGCAGTGGCTTAATAATACAGTGCGGTCATACCAATGTGGCAGCCATATTGGGTCGGCGGGAAACTAATATTGAACAGTCTCTTTGTTATTTCAATTTAAAAAGTAATTATTGCATCATACTATTAACTAGAATGGTTTGGGAGATAGAATTGAAGTTGAGAAAGTTGAATGAAGCATATGGATCTCTTACGTCACGTGAAAATTAATAATTAAATCAAAGAACAATATTTTATTTGTTTCTATTTAACTTCTTTTAAAATATACTTCGGCATATTGCGATTTCCATTTTATTCATCTGATTCTCTCAATGGCAAATTTCACACACAAATTTATATAATTATTATAACATCAAACAAAAACTGAGTGAAAATTAACTTTCATTGGAAAACCAGAAACTCAATTCTAAGTCAGCAACCATGAAACTATTTTTATTTTTCTTGTTAATATTCTCCTTTGAAAAAAACAAAACTTTAAATAAATGTAAATTTAATAAATATGAATTATTTAATTTAAATTTAAGAAATATAAATTATTTAATAAATATGCATTATTTAATGTAAATTTAATAAATATAATTTATTTATTTTTACTTAGTTACTTGTGACTGAACACCCCAACTAGTGTTGTCCAAATGCGAGACCTAAACAGATCTTGGTCTTGCACACTCAGTCTTGGTCTTGCACACTCAGTCTTGGTCTTGGTCCTGCCCAAGTCTCACTACAGTCTTCCAGTTACCTATTAGCTTATTATTATAGAGATATTACTGTAATTTTTTAGATATAGGAAACTTAACTAAGCCCGAATGAAAAATTGAGAATTAAATTCCAAAGGATATTGGTTATATCAATTGTTTATATATGATAACTAAATTTGTCCAGTTTTAGTGAATATTTTACCTTAATTTTTATTCATAAAAAGCTTTTTTTTTTTTTACCAGTCTTGGTCTTGGTCTTACAACAGTTAGCCGGCCTTAGTCTTGGTCTTGCAAAGTGCATGACCAAGACCGATTTTGGACAACACTAACTATTATAAATCCACTATTATTACAAATTTAAATAGTTCAAAATTTGATCCTTGAATAATAGGATCATTTCTGATCGTTGATATTAAAATATTTTTTATGGAATGGTTTACCTCTTACCATAATGACTATATTGTATATTGCATCTAAAGTAGAAAAAAAAAATTAATTTAATTTTAAGCCTGTTAAAGGTGGTAGGAAAGAATAATATCTATAATTTGAGGCTACTAGCTAATACTATTTTTATTTTGAAGTCAGTGGTTTCAAGTATAAAATTGAAATTTGGTTTTCTTTTATAGTTATTGTTACTTTCAATATTAAAAATATGAGTGTAGTTGATGATCCGTAAATCATAGTTGAATTGAGTATAGTTGATGATCCTTAAATGATAGTTGAACCATCTTGAATAAACATTAACAGAAAAAATAATTTCATTTCAGAACTTATGCAGTACAATCTATTTCTTAAAAATCAATCATGATGAATATCATACCATTTATTCTGGCATAAAAGAAAACTACTTTTAGTTACTCGAGATCTCAATAAAGCTAAGAATCGTTACCTATACTCATATTTTAATGATGAAAGTATCAATAATTATAAAGGAAAACCAAATTTTAATTTTATACTAGAAACTACTAGCTTAAAGATAAAAATTGTGTTAGCTAGTAATTGTTACAGGTCCACTGTGTATTAGGGTCGATCAATTCAGCCTGACTTTCTACATATAATTTTTGTTTAATTCCCTTTATTGCTGGTAAAATTATTGCCTACTCATGGTTTGAAGCTGGTTGGTTGCAAGTCATTTGTGCATATGTTGAACGGGTTGGTTTTTATTAGGGTTCTCCATTTTCATTAGGCATTGTTGAAGATAAATATGTTACCTTCTGTTGACTATCATTCATTTTTACTGAGAAGTGCAGTCAATGTTGCATACTCAGTAAAATTTTGCATTTCCAGTCCCCAAACAATACCTTGAATTCGAGAAAGGATTTTGGGTACAATGATGATAAAATTTCTGTCTCAATGCCTATCTTCAATGAACCAGAAGTAAAAATACTTTTTTAGAATTTTTTCAATGACTTTTTAAATCCATAGCTCTGTGTGTGTATGTTTGTGTGCCTTTCTCACTCTATTTCTTTCTCCTAACCTCTTACCCTCTTTCTCTCTGTCTTGAAAATAAAATATTCTATTTTCATTTACTATAAAATGAAATATTTTCAGGCTATAAATACTGTAACGTCTTATTTTATTTTAAAATAAAATAATATCCTTTAGTATTTGTAAATTATATTTAAAGATATGTTTCTTAATTTTGATTTTTAGAATTAAACAAGAATCCAGTTGAAGGATTCTCTGCTGGCCTTATCGATGATGATGACATATATAGATGGGAAGTCCTTATTATTGGACCACCTGAAACTTTGTAGTAAGTTTTTTTTTTTAATTTATGGTTCATATTAATAATGAGAGTAAAATCTCAGGACAATGGAACAAAAATTATAGTTAGTTATATAATTGAATGCCTTATGTAAGTCTCTCAAAAAGCAGTTAACAACTAACAAGTCAATGTTTCTCCAATTCAGACATCTTCAGGATTGAAAAAAACACAAATACTCAAATCATGAAAATTAAATTAAATTGAAGGATGTCTCCTATAAGATTAGTAGATTATATGCATATGCGCCTGACATCATTCACAAACAAAAGGGTACTTTTCGAATTATCTATGGCTCATTATGGTTTATATCAGCTGTAATAATTTTGTGAATAAAATTGTGAAATTTATTTATGGAATCATATACAACATATAATAAAAGAAAATATACATATATTGTATGTTATGTAATAATTTTATGAATGAAATTGTCATCAAATTTATTCCAATGTGAGAATTTTTTTATTTTTACTTGATATTTAAACAAAATATTGTTTTTGTGCTGTTGTTTTTATTTTTGGGATTATGTTAAATCCTTCGTTTCAGAAGTTAAGTTTAAAATTTTCATTATAAAACAAGAGTACAATCTTGTAATTATTCAAATTCTTTTCTTAAATCTGAATTGTACATTTCATCATTCCATTTTATTATCCATTTTAAAATGTATTTTATCCACTTTATAAGTAAATTTTATGGCTTCAGTTTTGAATTAAATTATTACCAATAAAAAGATAAACAGTGCCCTGAATCTAACAATTTTGGAGGTTACATATTCTACAATTTTCTTTGCCTTCTAGTTTGTAGGCCGTTCCATTAAGACCAAGTAAGAGTTTCATATGCTGGAAACTGCAACACATATAATACCCAAAAAATTGGCTTGGTGCTTTTTTAATCCTAACAAGAAATAAAAAATGCAAAGATAAAAAATTGCAATCTTTCTATTTATCAATATTTTTTAAGACTCCTTCATGTTTGATATATAAACATTTGAGTGTGCTTGTAAATAGTTTACTGGTGGCATATTTAATTAATCTGTGGAATTAAGATGGCCATATTTTCTTTAGTTTGCATTTGTGTAATTTTGTTGTTCTCAGTTTCTGTTGATACATGAATTGATGAAACAACTTCATTATTAACTGCTGTTTGAGGAAAAAATGTGAGACTTTATTTGAGATTTTTCAATAATAACCTATTTATATATTTTTTTATTTGGATATTCTAATTTAACTGTTTAATTTATTATTGATTTAATGCTGAAAAATATAGATAAACTTATTTGCCGATAATTGAGAGATAATCGCCAATTTTGAGTTGCTGTGAATGATATCTGTTCATATTTTTTTTAAACTTGGTCAATGCAATGTTTTCTTAAAAGTATAATATTTAGTCATGATTCATTTTTTATTAAGCTTGTAATGAAATACATTATATTCTTTTGTATAGTTCTTTATTTAATAGCCCAGTAACCTTGTCATGAAAAGACAGCAGTCACTAGGATGACTTGAATATCCCAAAAACTGCTAAATTTTCGCACTTATATTGGTTTTTCCCATTTTGACTATGAAGGATCACATTTTCAACAAAAACATTCTGTACATTTTTAAACTAGATTAAATGTACTGTAATTTGAGACCAGAATAGGTTCAGTAAATCTAATAAATTTTGAATTATAGTTTTTCAAAATTCGTGCATATTTTCCAAACCTGAATATTTTAAGCTGTAATAGTTTTTGTTTTATCCTACATAATTTTCTTTTTATCTTCAATAAGCTATCAAATACGAGTAAATAAATTAAACATTTATTTAATTTATAATTTTGAAATAGTGGAGGTGGGGCGAGGTTTGGTGAGAGAGGAGGAGTTCAATGTTTACTACCAGATGACGGAAATTGAAATACAAAATTTATTTAACAAGCATTTACATCAAGTGTTGACAAGAAGAGAATGAAAATATTAAAGAATTTTAACTTGAAAAATGTGTGAAAATGATGTAGGATTTTGAGTTTTCTTTAAAATATCTCTCTTAATAACGAACTCTTTACGTTTACTGGATTATTCATTTGTAAGAATGACAACACTTATTAATCCTCTTCCAAACGATAATTTTTGTTTACCCTTTGTAGCATTACGCTGCTTAGAAATAATTCAGTCTTTACTAACTTGCAGTGAAACTTAACCTTAGCAAATTGACTGTTGATGACCACCTCAAGGCGATTGGAAAAGTAAAAAAGCTTGAAAGTTGGGTATCACACTCATTAAATAACTGCCAAAAAAAAACAAACTAAAAAAGCGTTATAAGGTTTGTGCAACACTACTTTGCCAAAAAAAAAAAAAAAACGACCCTTTTCTGTCCAGAATTATTACTTGTGATGAAAAATGGATACTGTACGATAACAGTAGATGTTTTAGATAGTGAATTGACGAAGTAGTAGCAGCAGAACATTTTCCAAAGCCCCAACTTATCAAAAAAAGGTGATGGTAACTGTTTGGTGAGCTTCATTTGATTTAATACACTATAGCTTCTTAAATCCTGGAGAAACCATCAGTTCCAAATCATATTGTAAGCAAATTACTACAATGCATCAGAAATTGGCAATAATGAAGCCATATTTGGTCAATCGGAAGGGGCCCATTTTGTTGTATGACAACGCCCCAGTAACATGTCTCATGTGTGACATCACAAAAACTGTTGGAGCTTGGATATGAAACTCTGCCAGATCCGCTCCTACTCTCCTGACCTCTCGCCTACAAATTATCATTTTTTTAGGCACCTGGACCACTACTTTAATTTAAACCACTACCTGGACAAAAAATTTAATGGACAAAGGGAATTAGAAAATGCCTTGTTGGAGTTTATCAATTCAAAAGATGGGAAATTCTATTCCGAGGGAATGGAAAAGCTGCCAACACTTTCTTAGAAATGTATTGATAGTAGTGGAGACTATTTTGATTAAATAAAACAGTTGTAATTCTTTCTTTTTTCTTTTTAAACCAAAATTCTGCATTATTTTTGGACAACCCAATATAAGAGTTTTGGGATATTCAACAGTGATCTAGGGGGCCACCACGTTTGAAAATTTAAATTTTTCGTCTTAGTCACATCCCATACAAAAAAAAAAAAAAAAAAAAATACTATAATCCCTATAAAAGTTTGCTAGAAACTGAATTCATGAATTTGGAATATAGAGTAGTAGTTGCTGAAGGTTGTAATTTTATTAGTGTTTTTTAAATTAGACTTAATAAGATTTCATTTTAAAATTAAGTTAGTATGGAATAGAAATTAAAGATAATTTAATAAAACAAAATAGAAAAAGAGCTCATTTCTTTTTACTCTTACCACTTAACCTATTTGATTCAGTACAATTAAGTGCAAAAAGTATGAATGAACTCTGTGAAAGTTTTTTTTTTTTTAATTGACATTTACAACTGTATTAAATGATAAATACAACTAGTAAATATGAAATAAGTAACATGACATGTAAAACGTGAAGAGAAACTACCCATTGGTAGCACTCCAATTATATTTCTATATTAGAAGGTCCCGAGGCCATCTTCTTTTCAGACTCCTCGGAGGGTTATCAGGAATAGAAGAAGAAGCAAGGTTGGAAACAAGAGGGTTCGGATGGTCCAGAAGTCCATTGTGGAAGGATAGGTATCTGGATTGAGCTAAATCGGAAACATATGGTACATTAAGGTCGTTATGGATGATTTTATTTGTAACAAAGTAGGGAGCATTGAGGATTTTATGAAGGATTTTGGATTGTAGGGATTGTATACGCGAGGAATTTGAGGGTTTAGTAGAGCCCCAAAGCTTGATCTCATAAGTCCAAATAGGCCTTATTATAGTAATATATATGAATCTTTTGTTAATAGTTGGAAGTTTAGAGCATTAGTCTAGTAAGTGCTACAGTAGTCGAAAACGTCGGGCAGTTTCTAGTCGTTTCAGTTTGGTATGGGGGTTCCAAGTGAGTCATTTGTCCAGGCGGAGTGTTATTAAAGGATACTGTAGGACAGGAAGTCATTGGTTTATGACGAAGAGTAAAGGTAATTTGATGGGATTTATTTTAATCCTCCAGTTTTGACACCATTTTTCAAGACTTGTGATGTATTATTGAAGAGATTGGGATGCAATAGATGGATCGTTATTAACTGATACGATACACGATTCATCGGCATAGATGGTGATGACAGTGTTGGATTGGGTTGGGATGTCAGCTATATAAACTGTGTAAAGGATAGGACCTAAGATACTACCTTAAGGAACACCGCCAAACTGAGTAAAAAGAGATGAATAAGCATTGTTATGATTGACTTTGAAGTATCCTTCAGTAAGGTAGGAACGGATAATGAGGAAGTATGTAGGTGGTAGGAATTTAAGGAGTTTGTACATCAGTCCCGGATGCCAGACTCTATCAAACGCCTGTTCAATGTCGAGAAAGATTCCTGTGCAGTACATTCCGCACTCCAATGAATGCAAAGGAGACTACATCTACCACACGATGGCATTGCTGAATAGTGGAGTGGGATGTGCAGAATCCAAATTGGTGATCTGGGATAATAATGTGTTAAGAGTCTAGGATGGGATACAAACGTTTTAAGATGAGTTTTTCCAGGATTTTGCCCATAATAGGTAAAAGAGAGATGGGACGGTAAGAGGATGGGTGTTCTGGTGGCTTTATGGGTTTATGTATCATTTTGACAACTATTTCCAAAAAAAAAAAAAAAAAAAAAAAAATTGTTTCCAAGAGTCAGGAAAATATTTGATTCGGAGTACAACATTACATATATAGGTGAGGAATAGTATGGCTTTTTTATGAAGCAATTTTAAGATCTGGGATGTGATTAGGTCATGGCCAGGAGCTTTGCAGGAAGGTAATCTATGAATGATATTGGATATTTCTGAAGGATGAAATGCTTTAGGTGGAGGAGTCAATTGGAGTGGAATATCCAATTCTGCTTCAATAAACTCAAGGTGGGTTGGATTAAGCTGTGAAAGTTAAAATAGAGAAATGTCTGAATGGAAAAGTCGCCTAGAATCAAGCTCTTCCTCTGTCGGGGTTGGTCTAGTGAACAAATTTAATGCCTGAGGGACTTGTCACTTAGTGTAATAAGGGACCTCTAGATTCCCTGGCCTTATAATTTTGCAAAGAAAATTGATAGTTGGCCATTATTCTGATTTCTTTTGGACGAAGGGCTGCTTCCTTCATCTATACATTTGTTTTGTTTTTTGTTTTTATTTAACAAGGAGAGGTTACGGGTGTGAGGTCACCAATTTCAGTGAAACTTTTTTAGGTGATACTTAATCGAAAAATATTAAACTTACGTCCGAGGATTCTTGGCAATACGCCCTTGGAGCTGAGAAAAAAAATATTTTACGAAATTTTGACATTTTTTATGTTATTGTTTTCTGCTTTTGAATGGATTCCTATCGCTATTTTTCATTGTTTTTTCTTGATCTCTAACTTTTAAAGAAAATCCATTTTCCTTTTAGATATAGTGTGCAAGAGTTTTACAGTACTGTTTCTATTTAGGAACTTTATGTGTTCTTTAATTTCCTTTCTGTTTGCCCGATATTAATGGCAGAGCACTCAATCAAGTAAACCTCACTCTAACATATAGGGTTGGTCAACTTGGTCCTGGAAACCATACTTTTTAAACTTTTAGACGGTCTAAGGGCCGCATAAAAGTTTTTAAAAAAACAGTAAAATTGTGGCCTTATAAAAGTTTTTTAAAAATACAGTAAAATTGTGGCCCATAGAGCATATAAAAGTATAGTGGACCCTACACGATAATTCATGAATGGTAGTCATATGACTGACAAAGATTCCTTCAATCTTGTTGACCCCTATTCATTCAATCATACTGACCCATTTTAACTCAGTTGATGTTAAGACATGTGTGGATCTGGTACATTGTCCATTTATAATAATGTGTTTCATTAAAAAGGCTTATTTAGCCATTATTATTTATAGTATTGGACATCAAGAGAAAAATGGAGATACAAGTACTTCCTAGTGCCTGAAAATCTTTTTGACAAAAGTTAGAAAAATGTAAGTCCACTACTTACAAAAATTAAGGAAAAGTATTGCTAAAATAATAAATTTGTCGAGAAAGATGGAAAAAGAACTAACAAATACACACAACAGTTAAAGATTCATTTTTTTTTTCTATCAGTAAATTGTGGTTTCCTCGTTTTAAAAAAATTGATTGCTTTACTATTTAAAAGAAAATAGTTGATGATGGTTTATCAAAATGTAAACAAGGTATATGAAAAACTATTTACCACTTTTATCTTAGTCTTCCCTCCACTTCTCGTGATTGAAATCCTCCAGACAGTACCTTACACAATCAATCAGAACGTCAATAGTGCCTTGGAATGCAATTCCAAATAACCATCTAGGGTCCGCATATGGTTTCCAGGACCAAGGACCGAGTTGACCCTATATGTAAGAGTGAGGTTTACTCGATTGATTGCTCATGCTCTGCCATTTATACCAGACAGACAGAAAGGAAACTAAAAAAAGAAACATATTAAAAAAACATCTATCATGGTAAGGTAAGGCTATCCATCTCATTTTAAGGACCATTTTAAAAGTTGTTAATTCTCACCCACATCTGGATCCCATTTAATTTTTTTTTTAGGAATGAACCAAGTTATTCTTTTTATTATCTCGAATAACCCTTAAATAGGAATTTTCATTGCTATTGAAAATTAAATTTTTTTTGCTCAATATTTCGCTGTATTCAGCTTGTATAATAATATTACAATAAAGCTGTAAACAAGAATGGATCTCATAAGCAGACAAATATTAACAGAAGGCGAAATATTGAGAAAAAATTTAGTGGAGGGGGTAAAATTGCCTGCAAACACTTCCTCTTAAAAATAAGGTTTTTTCTGACATGGTTTTCTTATTAGCAAAAAAGAAAGGTCAACCTTCATTATCATTAAATTAGGTTTTAATTGATAAAATCTTGTCATTCTTTGTTTCACCTTCATTTCTTTTTTAGCATTATTTGTGTAGTAATTATTTTATTTTATTTTTTTATAGTGAAGGGGGATTTTTCAAAGCACATCTGTTATTTCCTAAGGAATATCCTCTGAGACCGCCTCGGATGAAGTTTGTAACTGAAATATGGCACCCCAATAGTAAGATCTTTTCTTTATTTTTTTATTTATGGCTTTACGATTTTAAACGGAATCCAATTTTGCCAGAAATTTATGTTTTATCAATTATCAAATTTGTTATTATTAATGTCAAAAATGATTTTAAATACAACATTATTATGCCATGTATCGAATACTTGGTTGTTGTTACTTAATTCATCAGCAGAAAAAGTAATAATTATTAAAAAATAATTCTAGTGATAATATTTAACAAAATAGAACGACAGTAATCTGTAATAATAAGAAATAGCTGTCTTCACAATCATTATTCAGGAGCATATCTTCCAGGAAATAAAAAATTCATAAAAGCTTTAAATACTTGTGCAATACCAGCATTATTTTATTCCTTTCGCATTTCAAAATTGACAAATGCAGATCTGTGTTCAATAGACTTTTATCTAAGTGTGCAAATGAAATGTGGAATTCCAGAAAGTACCATTTGAAATTGTTTGTGGTAAGAAACCTTTTATGACCAGGTGGCAGCAGGTGGGTACCAGCATTTTGAACCAATCTTGAGGTTAATATCAGTGCTAATGAGTTCTGAAATGGAAGCTCAAAAACTCTTAGGTTTTGAAACAAAACATCAGCACTCTTATTAAAAATTATCTCTAGAATTCTTGTCTATGATCCTAGTAAAATTTAGTTTAGTTTTTTGTTTGTTGTCATGCAAATAGACTTCCTGTCAGAGGTTATATCCATATATTTAGTAAATTATATGTTAATAATGACACGTTTCTCCATCTATATTATTTGTTTAGTTTTTTCAATAATTTTTTATTAATTTGAGCTACCGTGGTTTTTCTCAAAGCAGTGAAGCAGGAATGATAAATGTTTTACAAAACTTAAGTTTATAAACTTTAAATCATAAGAGAGAAATAGAATGCGTTATTATAACATTTAACTTACTATTGAACTTACGATATCCTTTCAGAAGATCTGAAATTAATTTCAGAAAGTTTGTATTTCTGTTATGCACACCCAGTAGTCTCATGATGTACCTATTTAATGATTGTTTTGCTGCTATCAGAAACTTTCGGATAGGAAAAATTTACAGACATATCAATTGTTTGTCTTTTTTTCGCAACAAAAGTTTCTCAACTCCAAAGATTTTACAAAGATTATAGTCAACACTTTAGACCTCAACCCTTTGCTCAGATGACTTCTTTTGGTGGAGATGGGGGTCTTAATGTAAGTTGTAAAATTTAGGTGAGCAGTCATTCAAGCTCTCATATTATCGATAGGATACTACTTATTACTTCAATATATTTAAGAAATTATCAGTGACCATCCATTAGAGAGCATTGCAAATTTTATGTTTCTGAATGATAATGTATGGCCACCGAATAATCGATTTTTACACACAGGTCCATTTAAGAATAAGGCATTTTCCCCAGCTTTCATTTTATCCAAACTAAAACCTGTTTAAACATTACATTTTTATAAATAACATAATGATAAAAAAAAGTGTATCAATATATTCTAAGAGATTAAGAACAAACATAATACTGTTATTTATAACGGAAAATCTTTTATTGTGCTCAGTTATAAAATTTATCTTCTTCGGATAGAAAACATCAGGGTTTCATTGTTATTTTTGTAATTGAAATAAATCATTTTCTTTGTATATTCCTAATAGTTAGGATTCAGTATAAATTAAGCTTATTTTTTTTTCCTTTGTTCCTTGTATAGATTATAAAACGATTATTGGAAATGATATTACAGTCCACTCCGCATTTATAACATTTATAAGAATGTTCAAAATTCGAAATAGTTGGTGCAGTGATCAATTAACAGCATTGACATAAAAGTGGTCACATTTAAGAGTTACGTTATAATAATATAACTTATAACCTTATTTGTAATTAAGGTGTTATTTATTTAATAGGTTGCTTGATGGCTTTTGCTAATTTATAACTTATTTATAGCTTTATTTTCTTTCATGACTTCTAATGATAAATATAATTTATTAACTGTGAACTGGTTATTAATTTGTAATCATATAATTTACGACATGTATATATTTTTCTTTTGTCAATTGTATATCTTAAATATGTCCATCTATTTTTAGATTATTTATTGGTCATTAAACACTAGATTGTATTATAAATATACTTACAAATTTAGAACGGGTTTCAGTACTTGGAAAGAATTTATATTTGTGATTATATTATTAGTTGTAAAAACTGTATTTAGGCCACTTATTTTCTATTGTGTTAAATGTACTGAGGAGGTGAAAAAAAAAAGTAAATGGCTTTTATATTATTAATTCTTTTATAAATCAGATCTATTAGTTTGAATTTTAAACTAAATGATTAATGGTTTTTTATTTATATCCACAAAATACAATTTTGATTTAATATTACTGCTATTAGTCTCTTGTTTAAAATTTTAAAGTAAATTCATTGTTTTTTTTTATGAAATGTTATCAGCGTAGGATCAAGCAATTGGCTAGTAGATGGCTAATGATGGTAGATAACATGGACTATGCTTTGAGTATTAATTATATTTTATATCAAAGAAATAATAAAACAATTATTTGGTTGAAAAACTGTTTTTTTTTTTTATACACCCTATTAGGTGACTAAGATTATTAATGTGCCAAGTTCTATATTTATAATTGTTTTAGGCTATTCAGGGCCACTGAAGTCTCAGTCAGTGGTGGGTGGGCTGCAATATGCATAAGCTAAAGGAGTTTGTTTCAAAACTTGACAATTCCAAATCTTTAATTGAGTTATTCTATGTTAAAATAACAGTAATTTAGTTCATGTAAAGATAAATATTATGCAATTCAAAATTGATTCCAAATTAAAAATATCCTGTAGTTTTTGTGCTTATTTCTTAATTTAATAATACAAATTTTCAACTTCATTATCTTTTATTTGTGGTATGCTTCATAATATAACTTTTTTCAAGGTTATTTTCTGTATTGGTGATTTATTAATGATTATTATTCATTCAAGATTCATTGTCAACATTATTTAATTGGTATTTGGTTTGGCATATTGCATATTGGCATATTGTTTAATTAAGGGTTTTCTTATTCTGTATTATGCCTGTAACCTCATGTACCTTTGTTGGTTTCAGAGAATATAAACCCTTGAATTTTTTGTGATCATCTATTTTTCTTTTTATAGTGAAATTAAGCAAATTTGTTAAAACATTGCTCTGTTTTTATCAGTCATTATAAACTACTTTGAAATTAATCTTTATCTTTTGTTGTTAAAATGTGGGAATATATATATTTATATTTATATTTGTCTTAGTTTTTAGTCATTATTACTTTAATAATGACATAATTTTATTTTAATTGATCCTAGTTGTTTATATTACTGTAATGTCTATAACTAACACCTTAATTTTACTTTCATAATGGACCATTATATTTATTAAAACTATATTTCTTAAATTCCTACTAAATGTTGTAACTAAAAGTAATTATGGAGAATTTTATAAAAGTTTTGTGGTGATTAGTGTCTTAAAAATTTAATTGGATTTGCTTTAGGATCTTTTCAACTTAAAACAGCAAGAATTATTGTGCCAGAACTTAATTCATCTTCCTTTAATTTGACTCATTTAATTTCCTAAACTCAGCTATTTTTAATACTGTAAAACAGTGGAGCTTTACATCTTGGGGGATGTGAAGTTTTACCAACTTCAAGAAAAACTTTCTGTTTCATTGAGGAACCATTCCTAAGCCTGTTATTCCATTAGTTTTTACTTATGCCATGAAAAAAATATTCTAGTTTTCGAGTAATGTAAATTCCCTTGGTGTAAAGTTCTCCAGCTTTATGTTAATTAGAGACCTAGTATTTTTGATTGATGGATGGCTTGTGAAAAAAAAAAAAAAAAACAATCTGGATTTCTGTGTATGAATATATATTTTTGGATGTTGTCTACCATTGTTGTGTATTTTATCGTAAAAGACACATTTAAAGAAGAAAAAAAGTCTAATACTATGATTTTTGCATTGTAATTATTTTCACAATGCAATAATATTTTTCAAGTTTGGTAACTATGTTTCTTGATATTGTTGAGGTAGTTTTAGTGGTCTACAGGATTAATTAAAGTTATACTGCTATTAATGGTGGTTATTTTTCAAATCCCTCACAAGAGTTGAAGGATTCCTCTCTTTCCATTTTATGATCTTGTCGTAGTTGTGCTAGAAGGTGGTGTGTGTTATTTGCACCATTCTTTGGCCATTCTTTGTTTTCCAGGAAAACTTTCTGGTACCCATGAGTAGCTGAATGGGCCACTTATCAACTTGTGGTAGGAGAAATGGAGAAGTCTTGGCAGTAATTGAACTGGAAACCATCATATTCCCGCCTGACTTAAACAGCACTACAACTTCACATCTGGTGATTACTTTGCCAAATTCTGACAGAAATGCTTCAGCATGTATTATGTTTTTCATTAACATTATTCCTAATAGTTAAGTCATTGGATTTGTTCAATGTCAAATATTTAATGAAAAAATCAGTACTGATTATAAACCATAATTTTTATAATGATTTGTTTTTCCATTTATTTAAATGTTAGTGGATTCGTCTTACTGGATAATGTGTGTATATGCACATTTTCAGGTATTAAATTAGTTTTAAAATTCAATTCTGAAAAAGTTACGTTATTTAAATACATGCTGATACATTGTGGACAATTGTATTACTTGAACTGAAGATGAAAAAAAAAAAAAGAAGAAAAAAGAAGTAGTCTTTGTTTAAAATAACCTCTCTTTGTTTGTATATTATACTCATCTAAATTATTAATTTTATCCTTAAATGCAATAGTATATTTCGTCCAAATATCTTCAGTGGTTTTTATAACTTTCTAAACTTGTTTGAGTATGGTCATCATCAATGTTCATTGATCTATTAAAGTTGAGAGAGAACAAGCTTTTAAAGCTGTACTGTAGTTCATTTATAACTTCTTGGATTTTGCTGAAAAAGCTTTTCTTTATCGATTTGCAACAGGTTTGATAATATGTT